CCCACCCCGCCAGCCCCGAGGCTCCTGGAGAGCCCAGGCTGGGACGCTTCTGCCCGGCCGCCCCCGGCCCTCCGCTGGCTCCTCTGCGGGGGCTCTGGTCACTGCCGGTGGCGGCAGCAGGAAACTGCGAGGTTCCCGTTCAGTTTGTCTGAGCCGGCTCCTGGAGCCTGAAGGTCCTCAGACTGAAGTGACCTTGGGCAAGGCACACGTGTCTCTAGACCTCTGTTTTCTCCTTGTAAAATCGGGGGGCCGCAGGCATGGTCTCCCGAACGACCTCCCGAACTTGAGGGTTGCACAGTGCTGAGGGGCAGTGGCGGGGCAGCTCCGGAGGGGAGCTGAAGGGTGTGAACGCTGCACCCAGTGGGGAGCAGGGAAGAGGGTGAGTGGTGGCCTCCGGCCTGGCAGCTTCCGCAGAGCCTCAGCCTCAGCCTCAGCCTCAGCCTCAGCCTCAGCCTCAGCCCGGGGTTTCCGCAGAGCCTCAGCCTCAGCCTCAGCCTCAGCCCGGGGCGAGTGTGAATGTTTGCAGGTTTGGGGACCCTCTTGACCTTGCACTAACGGTCGCACGAGGACTGGAAAGTATTTATTGAGGGACGGTCTTTTACGTGCACGGCACTAACTTGGGGTAGGTTTCAGGCCATACCTGGCGAGACAAGCAGACAGAAACCTTGAGTCTCATCCTCAACTTAGACGAAGATCTAGTGAATGGGCACAGTCATGTCCCCTGCGTGCGCCCACTTTCGGTGTCTGTGACTCTCAAGCGCCACGCAGCAGCGAGGGGAGATGCACCTGAGACCATGACTATAATGACATCTGGTTCCCTCAGATGAAAGAGCCCCAGAGTGACTACCACGGGCATTGCTGTGGCTGTGGACACTTACGTCTGTGTGTGTGTGTGTGTGTGTGTGTGTGTTTAAATCTAAAATGTGTGTGCACGGTTTGTGCGCATCAGCAACATTTAAAGACTTTTCTGCATTCCCTGTCGTACACGTGCTCATAAATCATGCTCCGCTCGTCTGGGAGAATGGCTTGTCCGACAACGAAGTCCTTAGGACTAAATACACGTTGCTCATCTGTGTTCTCCTCACACGTCATTCGGATCGCAGCTTACTGAGACCGGACGAGGCGGATGAGAATGTATCATCTGCAGACACGTTGAGTCAGAACCCACAGGTAGTTAAAAGCCACCTTTTCCAGGAACAGGTTTCAGAGGTATGTGTCACACGCAATCAATAGATTGCTGGAATTTGCAGTTGGTAAAGGCGTTAACAGTAAGGGTTGCCACGAGATCGTTTTTAAGCGACACAGTGAAGTCCCACCTGGAGTAGGTTTTATGGTAGCATTTCTGTAGGACAGGGTTCCTATTTGTGCGTGTGTGCGTCGGAATGACAGCCGTGCAGATACGGGCCCTTGGCCTGGATGTCCGGGTGTGTCTGTGTCACGCCTGCGAGGTGTGGTTATTACCTGGAGACTTAGGTCATACTTCCTTGAATTAAGAGCATTGTTTGGGATAATGTCTAATGTTGAATTATCTGCTGGCATAGCTGAGTTTCGCCTACGATCTATTTAATTTTCTGCTGGAGCGCACGTACCTGTGAGATGGGAGAATCTTAGCATTTGAAGGAGCCTTGTGCATCCTTTTCTTTTGGTGTGACCCCACAGCAAGAAATTCCTTTTAACATCTCGATCAAGCCACACAAACTCATCTGTGTCTGTCGATCCGAAGCAAATATTTCACAAAGCAATGTTTTATTTTCCCACGGGCGGTGCACATGGCAGAACGTGTTCTGTTTTATTTCG